GTAGCAACATAAGTAATTAATAAAAATACTGAATAAATAATAAATGTTAATGATGATTGTTAAGTATAATGGCATGTTTATATTTCGCATTGCAATACCAAAATTATGACTTTTTTAAGTTTTAGAAATTTCTCGAGAATTCGAGAATTCCCGGGAATTCCTAGTCGAGAATTCTCGAAACCCGAGAAAAAAAGTAGGCCGAAAAATCAGAAACCCTAGACTCAAGTCAAAAATTCAAAATTTTGAAATTAACAATATCGATATTCAAAGAAATTTATACTATTATTTTTATAAGTACACGCGTTAAGTTACTATCAAAGCTTAACCAGAAACAATTTTCTTTTTTTATTTATGAAAGCGCAATTATCCAATAAATATTTACTTTAAACTTTTCTTAATTTAATTTTCACATAGTATTTATTTTGTTAATCGTAGTATAAATATATTATAATCAGTAAAAAATGTTTCCGAAAATTTTTTTAGATATGGGGATTCCTAAAAAAAAATCCAAATGTTGGCAGGGCTCCGCTAGTCGTGAAAGTTTGATGACCGCTGCTATATACGATACTTTTTGTTAATCCTGTGTACGAGGTCTGTTCAGAAAATAACCGAACTTATTGAAATAGGCACTAATGGAGATATTGTGATCTGCGTTTGGCAGCAGTGCGTTACAGATAACCTCCTATGTGACCGTACGTTCTTGGATTGTTATTATCCCATTTAGTTTTTTAAGTGTTTAAGTGTTAGTGACGATTTTTGAAATGTGTGATTTTATGGAACAACGATGCAACGTAAAATTTTGCGTGCAACTGGGGAAAACTTTCACGGAAACGTTTCAACGTTTGAAACAAGCTTACGGAGATGATGTTCTCGGTCGTACGCAATGTTACGAATGGTTTTCACGACTTAAGAGTGGTCGTCAGTCAATTGAAGATGATCCTCGACCATGAAGGCTTCCGACTTCAACTGATGACTACCACGTTCAGAAAGTCAAAGATCTGGGCGTGCAAATGGCTGATTAACTGTCAGAGAAATTTGTTGCTCGTTTGATGTCCGAAAAACAAAAAGAAAATCGTACAGAAGTCGGCAAGTTCTTGAATAATCCAATGACGATGAAACATTCATTCGAAGGATCATAACGGGAGATGAAAGCTAAGTTTACAGCTATGACATTGAGACAAAAGTTAAATCATTACAGTGGATTGGCAAAGAATCTCCACGCCTCAAGAAAGCACGTCAGTCTCGATCCAATGTCAGAGATGCTCACTGTTTTTTTTTTTTGACTTTAATGGAATTCTGTTTTGTGAATTCTTAGCTCAAGAGACAACTCATGGTTTTTGCATCATGACAATGCGGCCACACACTCAGCTTTGTCAATTCGTCAGTTTTGGATCAAAAATTGAGATCTCAGAGACTCACAGGCTTTAAAGGCCATTTCAAATGAAACTATCCAAGACTACTTCGCGAAATGGAAATACCGTTGGGAAAAGTGTGTGAATAGGGGAGGAAGTACATTAAAGGAGACGAGGACCGATAATGTAAAAAATTAATAATAAAGTTTAAAAAAATAATTCGGTTATTTTCTGAACAGGCCCCAAATATTTTGTGAACATTATTCCATGTTACGTTAAGCAAAAACCAGTTTTTCACTTTCGGATTTCCAATTATCTAACGTATTTCCGATAGAAACAAATGATAAAGAAAATCCAGCGCAAGCCAATCAAGACTATTTACCAACTTAGAAAAAAAAATTTAATGTTTACGGATAGGTAACCAACTTAATATAGTCTCGACTTTTTAGAGGCAAAAAAAAGATCCAGCTCGCCACCTGGCGGGCGGCACGGAGGGCCGAGATGGGCAATTATCGCCGTTTAACCCTCTCCGCACAATCGGCGGCGGCCGCATCGCGCGCACGGGCCAAAGAACACGGACGGGCGAGAGCGGCGCGGGGCCGCCCCCCCACCACTCGCGATCCACGGGGGCGGAATGTGTTTGAATTATGGCTATAAAGTTCTGACATGTTATGAAGATATCTGTCAGTCGTTCGTTATCTTTTGATTGTGTGACCGCGCCAATAAAAATTGGCGGACGGACCGATTCCTCCGGTTCCCCGGACCGATAGAATTAATTATTGCCGGTAATGAATTTTAGGAAATCTCACTTTTTTTAATAAAATTCGCGAGAAAAATGCGAAAGGATCTGCGGTTGACCAAGAATTTTGAGTGTCTGATAATTAATGTTTTACGAAAAAGTAATGCAGACTAAGAAAAAAGTTTGTTAAAATTACCCGTAGAAACCTATTTTGTCGTATTAGATAAAATATTTTAGGTAAGACAAAAATATTTCTTATTTTTAGAGTATTTAAAATTTATATATTTCTGTTAAATCTTTCTTTCTTCAGTATTTTCCTTTTTTTACTTTTTTTTCATTCTTACAGGATTTATGAATTTAAAAAAAATATTAAAACTTATTTTTTGAACACTTATTTTTGTATATTTTTTTTCCAAAAATATAAATATATAATATCCAAAAATTATTTTGAACTCAGTCCGCGGTATTAAATGAAAAAATAAATAAGTAATTAATTAAACGTACAGGAAATTTTTTTAATTTTCAAAGAATCATTTATCTAGTATTGAGACCTCTATTGAGACACACCTGAACTCGTAAAAAGTATATTAAAATAAAAAATGTAAATACTTTTAATATATATTTTTATAGTGAAAAAAAAAATAAAGATTTAGTAAATGACTTTTAATAGTCATTTTATACTCGATTTTTCTAGTCAGTCTCTTATATACTATAATAATATATAAAATCAAAATACCTCATACAGGATGTTTACAAACTTGGAAAGGATGTTTGAGAAGTTAAATAAATCAGAATGCGAAATTCGATTGGCAAAAATATGTATTTTCTACAAAAAGAATAATTTCTTTTAATACCCATTGATCTACCGCAATAATACGAAGAAACATTTTTGGAATCGCCGACTCCATCGATAGCCGATTGAATCTGTTTACGTTCATTAATTCATTGTTACTGTAGTCATGAACAATTTTAGTATGTTTTTCTGACTGAGGAAAACAGAAAAATTAGTATACACTTAAACATTTGTTTACTAGTAATTTTGCTTGGAACTTGAACAAATAAAGAAACACTTTTCCTTAATAAAAACTAAAGTAGATGATGATAACTTAAAATTAAACTACCAAATTCTCTGTTTGCTACAAAAAACGGCGCATTATCTGCGGCCACAACTATTCACCTCTTTTTATGTAGTATGTAGGTCGGGGACGATTCCAGAAGTTCTCAATAAGTTTAACAATTTTGATTATTGTTAATTTTATGCACCGTTTGCAGTTTCAACAGTTTTAATAATCGAAAATGCTTATTATTAATACATTTCACCTGCCTTTACAGGTTTGCAAACTACCGCAAACCTGGTTTTATTTTGAATGCATTATTCCCACGTACAACTAACATAATGTTTCCCAAATAGGCGTATTTTTGCGATGTACTCCCTATACCGAGCCTGGTTATCCCTGGGACCGTGCGGCGGACTACCGTCCACCATGACCACCCTACCAGCCACATTACCGTCTCCGACACCCCTGAACCTCTCGATCCCAACACCAGTGCATCTATCGGGAGTTCCAGACGTTACCCTGCACGTGGGCCCAGGCCTGACCCAGTTCTCTGCCCACAAGGTGGTGTTGTCGGCCCACAGCGGATTCTTCAAGGCAGCGCTTGCCAACCACGCAGGTAAAGATTAATTGAAAGTAACAATTATAATAAACCGTCCCCGCCCGCACTCTATTCCCGTGTTAAATCTTTTTTTATAGGTCCTACCCCGATATCGGTACCCAACGTCAACGTGGACGAATTCTGCTCGCTGCTAACCTTCATGTACACCGGCTACCTGGACCTGAACGTGGGCAACATCTACAGCATCCTCCTGGCCACCCACATCCTGCACATGCCCAGAGCCCTGGAGATATGCAGGTCGTTCCTGTTGCACTCCCAGACGCCGGAAACCCGGACCAACGTCATAAAACCCATACCCAGCAGGAAAGCCGCTCTGCCGACTCAGGAAATATACGCACCCACGTTCGGCTGCCTGAAAAAATCAGAGGACACGCCGTTCAAAGTCGTGGGGTGCGACAGGAACGACTACCAGCAAGCCTCCACGTCCAAAGTCGAACCCGCCGCAGTGGAAGTCGAACCGAGACCGCCGCCGACGGAGAAAAAGGACAAACCGAAACACAAGAAACGCCCGGACAGCAACGAGAAGGTCATCATCGACATAGCATGCTGTGACGGCCCGGTGCGCTTCCACAGGGTGATCAACAAGAACTACGGCCACCAGCCAGTCCAGGAGACCTACCAGGGCGAGGAGGTGAACAGGAACGCCGTCCTCAACAAGGTGATGAACGAGAACATCCGCGACAAGCTGGGCGACGAGAACGGCAACCAGAACGACGTGTTCACGTGCCTGTACTGCAACCACACGTTCAAGTCGCAGTACTGTTACCAGAAGCACGCCCGACGGCACCTGAATCCGGTCAGTCTGGAGGCCAAGACCGCCCCCAAGGAGGCCAAGAGAGAGGTGAAGCTGTTGGACATGAACGTGCAGTACTACCCTTGCAAGACGTGCGGGAGCAAGTTTCCCAGTTACTATTTCGTGCACAAGCACAGGAAGCTGTGCCACGCGGAGGAGATGGCGGACAACACCAACAAGAACAACGAGATGGTGCCAAAGGGCGGGGAAAGCACCGACAGCAGTTGTAGCGCGATAGACGTGGAAGCGGTGAACACGGACAAATAAGATGTGCTATATTTTAAGTAATTATCACATAGTTGAAGGAAAAAAAATGTATCTTAGGGCAATTTTAGCGCAAATATGTAAATAGACTGTAAAAGTACGAGGATTAAATTTTAACACTATCTTTTTCGAGTAATAATATTGAGACATACTAAAAAAAAAGATGGAGACCTACCTTGGACGTTGTTGGCTTCTTCGTCGCTGGTCTCGATAGCGGCGTCCTTGTCTTTTCTCCTTTCCTTCTTCTTTTTGTTCTCCGTTACCAATGAGTTGTTCATCATGTTTTGATCGCTACATGGAAAAAATTATTTGTATAACATGTTTGAAATTTTTCATAATCTAATAATAACTATTCATTTGCAAGCAAAGACAGAGACTTTTTTCATTTTGAATTAGGAGATTTTAAGATAGAAATCTTTCTCACACAAAAACTGAAAAAGAATGTAAAAACACTTACTTTTGAGAAAAACTTTCATTTTAAATTTGATGTATACATTAGTGATATACACTGAGAAAATGGATTTTGGTAAACTATTCTAATAAATGTAAACATTTGTAAAAAAATGTACATATTTTATAAACGACAAGGAGTTCTTTTTCATATTTAACGTATACATTTATAATTTACTTCGAGAGAACAGATTTGAAAAAATGAAGCGTGAGAAATAATTACAAATATATTATTATTTGTTGGTGTCGTCAATCTTATAAGATAAGAGAAAACAGATTTGCAAAATGATTAAAAATATTTAAAAATTACTAGTTGGAAAGTGAAAAAAGTTGCAAAATAAAAATTAATGTTATCAAGTAAAAAAATATATATTGAATACACCGAGAAAATATGTTTTCATAAAAATTTTATATGTAGGTATTTGCCAAACAATTAAAACTAATTTAAACGTACTAATTTAATTTAATGAAATGTTAAGAAAGTTGCAAATATAGAATAATTTTTTTCAATAAAAGAGAAATATTGAATAATTATATACATCGAAAAAGCATATTTTGACAAAATCGCAATAAGTATTAGCCAAATAAGTAAAAAAATGTTAAATATCCTACATTAAATATTCGAAATGTGTGGAATGTTGCAAAAAAATAAATTAATCAAGTAAAACAAAAATATTGAATGTCTATATACACCTAGAGAACAGATCTACAGTACGAAAAATAATGTGTTTGCAGAATTAAAAATATTTTAAAACTCACTGGTTAGTTAAATATTGTAGAAAATTGCAAAAAAAATTAATATTATCAAGTAAAAAAAAAAATATTGCATAATCACACCGGGAAAATAGATTTTTTAAAAAATGTAATAAGTGGTTGGCAAACAATTAAAAGTGATTTAAACGAAGTAAATTAATTCATTAGAAAGTTTAGAAAGTTACAAAAAAAATTGTTATTTCGAGTAAAAGAGAAATATTGAATATTGAAATATACATCGAGAAAACATATTTTGAAAATAACATTAATATTAGCCAAATAAGTAAAAAACTTTTAAATATACTAAATTAATTATTTGAAGTGTGGAAAGTTGCAAAAAAATAAAATAAATCAAGTAAAAGAAAAATAAGAGAAATAATTTAGGTAAAGTGTAATAAAAAATATGAAATTTTCACATATACTTTTCATTTTGAATTAGGAGATTTTAAGATCTTTACCAAAAACTGAAAAAGAATTTACAAACACAATTTTGAGAAAAAGTTTAATTTTAAATTTGATGTATACATTAGTGATATACACTGAGAAAATGGATTTTGGTAAACGATTCCAATAAATGTAAACATTTGTAAAAAAATTTTCATATTTTATAAACGACAAGGAGTTCCTTTTCATATTTAACGTATACATTTATAATTTACTTCGAGGAAACAGGTTTTAAAAAATTAAGTGTGAGAAATAATTACAAATATATTTGTAATTATTTGTTAGGTAGTCATCAATCTCATAAGATAAGAGGAAAACAGATTTGCAAAATGATTAAAAATATTTTAAAATTACTAGTAAGTAAAAAAATATATATTGAATACACCGAGAAAATTGATTTTGATAAAAATTTTATACGTAGATATTTGCCAAACAATTAAAAATAATTTAAACGCACTAATTTCATTTATTCCAATAAAAGAGAAATATAGAATAATTATATGCATCGAAAAAACATATTTTGACAAAATCGCAATAAGTATTAGCCAAATAAGTAAAAAAAAATTAAATATCCTAAATTAATTATTTGAAATGTGTGGAAAGTTGCAAAAAAATAAATTACTCAAGTAAAACAGAAATATTGAATGCCTATATACACAAAGAAAACAGATATATAGTACGAAAAATAATGCGTTTGCAAAATAATTAAAAATATTTAAAACTGGTTAGTTAAAAAATGTTAAAAGTTGCAAAAAATTAATATTTTCAAGTAAAAAAAAATATTGTATAATTACACCAAGAAAATATATTTTGATAAAAATGTAATACGTGTTTGCCAAACAATTAAAAATAATTTAAACACACTAAATTAATTCATTGGAAAGTTTAGAAAGTTACAAAAAAAAATTGTTTTTTTAAGTTAGAGAAATTTTGAATAATGAGATGCATTGAGAAAATATATTTTGACAAAAACGCAATAAGTAGGTATTTGTCAAATAAGTGAAAAATTTTAAAATACCCTAAATTAATTAAGTGTAGAAAGTTAGTTACAGAAATATAAATTGAATTAAGTGAAAGAAAAATATTGAATACTTATATACACTAAGAAAACAGCTTTAGAGTAAGAAAAATAAGAGAAAAAATTTAGGTAAAATATAAAATTTTAAAACAGCAAATTTTCGCAGATATTTTTTATTTTGAATGTTTAGAACACTACATTTTAAACTATGAAACATTATAAACAATTTTTACATATTTTTTCTGCGTTATATTCCATCAATTTGTATAAATTTTCTCATAGTTCTCCCTTAATATTCATTTTCTTTTTTTTTATTTGATATATTTTTTAAGCAATATTTCATTACATCCAATTATTATCATGAAAGAATTATTTTCTTAAGTACATCATTTTAAAGAATGCAAGAATTTTATTAATTTTTAAAATTAGACCTTTATAATATTATTATTGAACGACTGTTTTAATTGATTAGGGACAATATTTTCGTGGGAATTTTGAAAATTACCTTTATGTTTAAACAAATTAAATCTGCACGTTGTTTGAATTAGTAATCTCCTCATTTTATTTTTATTTAAAGAAATTTTTTATACATTTCTACAATCGTATTTTATTAAGCAATATTTATTCAATCCAATTAGAATTATGCTCATTCTTCAACTGAGATCTTCATAAATGCAGTATTCTATGACATTTACAAAGGATTAGGAACAATATTGGCACGGGAACTTTGAAAATAATTCCTTTACATATGAAAAATTTAAAGCTTTATTTCAACTAGTAAATTCCTTTTCTTTTATTCTTTTTTAATATTCCACATATTTTTGCCACCATTTTCTATTTATTCAGTTCGATTATTACACTGAAATAAGCGTTTCTTTTGAATGGGAGTATTTTGCTTATTTTTCAAATTAGGTCCTTATGATTGCATTATACTAAAACTTTTTGAACCAATTAGAAACAATACGATTTCTAAAATAATTTACTTTACTTTCTAAAAGAATTAAAATCACGCTCTATTTTAACCAGTAAACTCCTAGACTACATGATCTTCATAAACATTCATGAAAACAGACCGAACCTCCGCATTAATTGATATTATCTTCAAACAGAGGGGAACGCCGCGGACATCCCACTTCTGAAAACCGAACGATGTTTTGATTGCATCGCGGTGGCCGGGTGAGCAAAGAGAATCTGCCGAAAAGACGTCGCATCAGGTACTCCCCCTTCGATATTTCCAATGAATCCGCGCTGCAATCCAATCGGCATAATTTTGACAAACATAATTTTCATTACAATCTAGACGAGTGTTCCGCGGCCTGCCCCTGGGGAGTCAGTATTACCGCTGAGCGCGCAATTATCGAACAAACTTGCATATCAATTTTGCAAATTGATACTTTGATTAAGTTAAAACCGGCATTTTAAATCGTCGGCAGAGCGGATACGATCAGATTTTCCCATTTCTAATTTCGCTTGTTTTTTTTTTTGTGTGCGAAAGGTTTTTGGACTAGCAGTCTGCAACTTTCTCAACTTAAAAAAATTACGTCGCTAAGAATTTCAACTTTGAAATAAAAATTAAAAATGTAAATTCGTTGTATCTGAATAAATCTACGCTACACTGAGAGAACATGAGATAAAAGTAAGATGTTTAAATATCATAAGCAAACAGTTGGAAAATTTATAAAAAATATTGAAATAAATACACCAAAAAAAGGGACGAATAAGGGACGATAAGAGCAATATGAGATATACACTAAGAGAACAGTTTTTGATAAAAAAAACGAAATGGAGTATTTACCAAATAATTAAAACCTAAATTAATTAATTGGAAAGTGTAGAATGTTACAAAAAATATTCTTTTCAAATAAAATACCAAAATATTGCCATAAAATAAACAAATGCCATAACAAATAACTAATATAAAAAGTAAAAAGAAATGATACATAATGGTATACATTGTGAAAAGTTTTCATAAAAATGGGATAAAGTTTTTGCTAAATATGCTAAAAATGTTACATTGAGAGAACGGGATTTGATAAAAATTAGACAGTGTTTGAGAAATAATTAAAAATATTTTAAACCTTCAGAAAAAAGTTGCAACAAAATTAATTTTATCGAAGAAATTAAATAAATGAATGAAATACACCAAGAAAACATAGTTTGACATAAATAAAGTGCTAAGTAAATATTTGAAAATATGTTAAACATAGAATAATAGTTGGAAAGTGTAGAAAGTTGCAAAAGATCAGTTTTACAGAAAAATAATACAATAATATTGAAAAAACTTTTGCAACATCTTATGTTTCATTTAGATCTGCGACCCTTACTCATATCAACTTCAATCTTTGAAATAAAACAGTTTCCTTTTTATTTATGTAAATTTATATGCTGACATAATAGATTTTGAGGAAATATGTAAAAAAGTGTTACATACTTTAAAAACGTTAAATATAGACAATTACACTGAGAAATTTATTTCCTTGGCATTATTTCACAGTACAACTATTTAAAAAACACTGTACTTGCTGTAACTTGTGACTGTTTAAAACTAAACTTTTAATACTTTTATTTCATTTGACAGTAATCGAAGAAATTTAAAGAATGGTATTTTTTGACATTTCCTTTTTCCACTACAGAACGCGATGAAACGAAGCACAAATTTCTTGAAAAAATACAATTTTTTTGTAATAACTTCCTATGTTCCAATTCGGATTTTGATGTTTTTTGATCATTTATTCATATCTATTCCAATTTTTTAAATAAAAAAGTTTCCTTTTGTATTTAGGTAATGGTAAAATCATAAAGGGGGAGGGTAAATTATGCCGGTTTTCGTCCCCCTCATTTTTGGCCAAAATTAAAGATATTTTTTTTTATTATTTATTGATTCCACCCCAAACGAGACCTCCCCCCTCCTTCCTAGTCAGGATTAAGGTCAATTAGAGGTCTTATAGAGAAAAACTGTGTTAAATCAAAATATCTCGGAGTTTAGGTTTTTTTGGTCGCTGAATCCGAATCGGAGGTTAGTTTGTCTGTATCAGGCCATTTTAAGGTTGTTTCAAAGTAATATCAAGGTCAATTTAACAAAAAATCCGTGCAATCAAGTATAACCACCTGTTATAGACGTATTTGGAAATGCTGAGTTAAAATCTGAGATCAGTTTGTCTGTGTCAGGTCATCTGAAGGCCATTTTAGTCATTTGAAACTTAATTTATGGAATACACCCTGGAATCAATTACCGTTCTTATAGTCGCTGAGACCGGTCCATTTATGTATTAATAAAGGTTCAAGGTTATTCCAAGGTTGATTTCAGAAAAAGGACTTCTGGTCAGTGGGATAAGATTTCAGACCCGGCTGTTTTCAACTGTAGCTAACATTGTTGATACTAAAAATGAGTTTTTAAAATCATTCGAGTTTAAACAGAACTACAAGGCAAGGCCAATCTTCCTTACCTTTGGTTCCACTAAGCTAATCGACACAAATCAAATAGTGGAGGATTAAATCGTCATATAATTATTACCTTCGGCTTTAGCGTTATTCATTGTGCACCACGAGGTTTTTTTCTTGGTTTAACCTTTAATTGACCTTGAAATAACCCTCAAATAAACTGACGCAGACAAACTGACTTCGGATTCGAACTCAGCTATCCCAAAAGTCTATATAACAGGCAATTAGATTTAATTGCTCGGTTTTTTCAATTAGACCTTGAAATGACCTTGAGACTATCTTTAAATGATCTGATACAGACAAACTAACCTCGGACTGTAACCCAGCGACCACAAAATCCTGTATAATAGGTTGTTAGACTTGATTGCTTGGCTTTTTCCCAATTAGACCTTGAAACGACCTTGCAACAACCTTAAAATGGCCTGATACAGACAAACTAACCTCCGATTCGGACTCGGCGACCCAAAAAACCTAAACTCCGAGAACCTTTCATTTAACGCACTTTTTCTCAATCTGACCTCTAATTGACCTTGATCCTGACTAGGATTGCTGGGAGGAGGTCCCGTTTGGGGTGCAATTGAGTAGATATTGGATATAAATAACAAAAAAATTTTTTCTTTTTTTTGGCCAAAAATGAACGGGGCCGAAAACCAGTATAATTGACCCCTTTATTATTATTTATATACGCTGGGAGGACTAATTAAAAGAGAAATATTAAAAAAAAAATAGGTGATTAATATTATGTTATATACATTAAGTAACTACATTAATTTATTAAGGTGTCTACACTGAAGAATGTGTTTATTTGGTGCTATTTTACACTACAACTATTTCAAGAACTCTAAACTGTAATTTGTGACTATATTAAACTTGAATACTTTTACTTTGATTTAAAATGCAAATATTTCAAGTATAAAAAAATGCTTTCAATGTCCTTTATTTTTAATTTAATTAAAAACGACGCTTTTTTGACATTCCCTTTTTCCAACATAGGAGATAAAACAAAAAACACTCACCTGACCACATCCTGCGGCGAATCGTTCTCCTTCTTCACCACCACCCCCTCAACCCCTCCCTGCTTCTGTCCTTCGGAGACGGCACCCGTGGCACCCTCTTTCGCCCCGTCCTTCCCGTAAAACTCCTCCGCGGGTGCCCCGAAGCACCCAGCGAACCCTTTCGGTTGTTTGACATCGTCCGTATCCATCGACATGTCATGGTCGTTGGTCGCGGCGCCCGTCGGCGACGCCGCGACTATCGATGGCGCCGTCGCCGCGCTACTACTAGTCGAAATCACAGACGTATTCGTGGAAACACAATTGGACGTCGTCGGCGTCGAGACCGACGGAGACGACGACGTAGCGCTCGGCGCCGTCGCGACGGTCGAGCTCGTCGAGGGCGATACGGCGACGGACGTCGTCGTCGTGGCGGTGGAGGATGGCGGACTGTTGGCCGTCGTGGTGGTGGTCGTCGCGCCCGCCGCCGCCGTCGCCGGGGGGCTGCTGGAGGTCGCCGGCTCCGTCGACTGTTGGGCGTCGGATCGGGGCTGCTGGTTCACCGTCTTGGCTTGCTGTTCTCTTTGAAGGCGTGTCGTGACGCCTGGAAAAAGATACAAGCCTTCGTTATCGCGATTTTTTGGATCGTCATAAGGACGGGTGGGAAAGGGTCCTAGGACTGGTCCCCGGAGTGTGCATTTTCAAGATTTCTGGGAAATATCAGAAATTTAATTAGAAAAGAATTGCGACGTGTATCAAGGAATAATTTTGATGAGGTTCGTAAAAAAAAAACTTAAAAAGTAGGCTGGTTATTTTAAATTTACATAGACACTGGAAGAAAGGAGCCCTGAAACAGATCCTTGAGGAATGTGGTATCTTTTTTGAGAAATTTTAAAATGCTACCAATAACAGACTAATTTTATACATAAAAGAGTTATATTGCATTATATGTCAAATAGTTTTCCTTCCTTTGGATATTTTGTCACATTATTTCAAGCATAGGTGTAATGGTTTGTTACTGTTCATTGTAAATGAATCATTAATATGTCAAGATTTAGGGATTTTTCATTACCAGTACCAGTTGTGCAATATTGGATTGCCTACGCTCGGGGGTCACATGGCTTGTAAACATTTATGAAGGCTCTGTATGTTTACATTTCCAAACCTTTACAACTACCTTTTCAAAACAGCACTTTTCACATTTTAATAAAATAAGTCGTCACATTGAAAATAAAAACATATTGTATAAAAAGTTTGTTATGTTGAAGTATTTCACTACTCCTCATCACGAGACTTCAAAGTGGATAAATATAAATTTGTTAAGAACCACTCCTGACCTCTTGAGGTACAGGCATTCATTTACCAATTCTTTAAAGTTTCGTAATCTGTAGTGCAAATACCTCAAAAAACAAAAATTATCGAAAAAATGCCCAATAATATTGAAATCCTATTACAGGTAAAAAAAATATCTCCCTAGCGTAATCTTCAGCATTTACTTCGTATCAGTCAGAGTTAAGTGGTAGTGTTTGCATTCGTAAACACTTCAGTTACAAGGAAATCCTGCCAGATGGCGTGTGAAAGCATCGAAGAAAATCAATATCAAAGCACGTAGCTCCATCTGGGAACGACAACAAGGACTGTGTATTGATTAGGTCGAAAAAGAAAAAGGCTGCATTAAACGTCGGTAAATTATAATTAAATATAGAAACCTGCCATAAATTATAATTAAATATAGAAAACTGCCATAATAAAGAAAAAAAATGATTTGATATAAAAAAAAATTAAAATAAATTGGAGGAAATCTAAAAATCTATATAAATTTTATTAAAGACCACCGAAAGTATTTAAGAAATAACTTTTTAAAAAAATGTACAAGAGCAGTTCAAGAATTTTGAAACTTTTGTGAGGTTTCTTTTATTTTCAGAGGAGAGAACCAAGAAGATAGGTTATAATAAATAATAACCTCATTGTACATGGATGTCTCACATACCAGATTTTACAAAAATTGCATTGCAGATACCATTTGCCCTTATTTGAAAAATTTTAAACTAAGCGTAAATTAAATGTTACCTTTTTTCCTATAAACGTGGGTCCACATATGCTTCGTTTTCGATATACGTGGTGTTTAATTTTTTTTCGTTTTTTTAGGAATAATTTCCAAATAGATTTGAATGTTAGCATAAAACTTGGGGTACGGTGGTTTTTTAGGATGCTAAATTTAAATATGCCGTTGGTTTTGACGCTATTTGTAGAGGGTGATGTACATAGTGCGTTTATTTCCCTATCAATTTTAAGCAAGAAAGGTATCCTAGGTCGAAATCTCTAAGAGCAACCGTTTCCGAGATATTGGCTGATGAAGAGTTAAATGCACACCATATTTTCAAAATTTTAAAATTTATTTTGGACTCGCGTTTAGAGAAAAACAAAGTCTTATTTTGACCTCAAAAATATGCCCCTTAATTCTTTGTACTAAATTTTGAATCAGCCTGTATAACTACATAAAGACAATCAAAGCATTTTTTACACAATCATGACTTAAAAACACATTAAAGCCTTCCACAGACTTGGAGATTTGTATTTCACCGTCTTGAAGACTGTCCCGATGCAGGTCTCGGTATCACGTCGATGATGGAAGACATTTCTTTTTCCACTAACCAATTTTTAGCACCAAATGTTTCTCCTTTTCTTCTTAATTAAACAAACACCAATAATAACACTCATGGTAAACGTTTCTTTTCGCGAAGGAAGCATCTTCGTGTAGAAGCTATGTACTTTTTCATGATACAAATTGCAGTTTGTATCAATACGTACTCTTGTTACAAATCTCCAAGTCTGTAGCAGTCTTAAGCCAAGTTTAGAAAAAAACATAATTGAATGCATTTTGAACACTTATTCAGAATCTTTTTTTCTGTTTATTTAGGTACCATGTAAAAAAAATTAAAAATTTTATAAATAAATTTGCGCCTATAGAATCAGTCAGGGACCATTTTCTCGCAAAAGCAAACAAAAAATATATGCACTATACCACATATTTCAATTATAGTTATTCCAAAAAATCAATCTGTTTTCGTTATCAAAACTAGAAATGATGTTTCTATTTTAATTAAATTAACTGCCAAACCTAATTAAGAAAGAAACAACAGTCCCAGTTTCGATAAACAAAAAAAAAACATAGTTTTTCTAAACATTATAATCGAAGTATGTGATATAGATATGTATTTTTTTATTTTTCATTTTTCTGCTTTTCCAATGTGAGATTTTTGTTTAGGAAAAAATATTTCATAATGAAAATCGTCCTTGATAATTTTTTTTTGGTGACAGTTTAATTGATAACTTTTTAAATTTTTCCAGAGATGGCAAAATACAGAAAAACAGAGAGGAATATAAAATTATACCACAAATACATAAACTTGAAAGAAAATCTTTATCGGCTTCTTCTAAACAGGAAATGCTTTTATTTTTTTATTAAAATAATTTCTGAAGATTATTTTTTTAAATGTTCAAAAATATATTGCCAAACACAGTAACTATTAGGACCCTTTATATTCCAGAGTTTAACAAAAGTGAATTGTTTTTTAATTATTTCGTCTTTCAATGGTATTTCGGGTTGTTATGCCGTTGCCTATGTACCTAGTCGCTGCCAGCTACAGAATTACATTGCCCTTATTGTTCTCGGGCTAAGTTCTACGGCAGCAGGTCCGTTCTCAGAACCCCTAGACACACCCTGACGTACATTCCAGTTCTTGTTGTTGGTTCTAGAGTAACTACCAACGGAACCGCTTCTTGAATAATGATCCTCCAAGACGCTGTGTAGTGGCCTCCGCAATTGGTCGCATCCAATGTTTCGAAACATATTGCCATTCTTCACTGCCACTCACCATTAAAAATACCGACAGTGAGAGATTACGAAACGTTGAAAGCATTAGAAGCGATCAGTTACAGAGGCCACTAAGGAACATTTCAGGGGACCACTTTTGTCTGAGAAATGGTTCCATAACGTAGGTCTTAGAACCAACAGAACCCAAATTAATATCAGGGTGAACCTAAAGATTTTAACGGTCTGTCCGCCCTCACAGAGTTTAGCCCGAGAACGCCAAGGGCAGGTCTAAGATTCCTAAATAAAACTAAGGAACTAGTTGGTGGTGAGCATTACAAACCAAAAAATCATTATTTTTTTTTCTTTTTGTAATTTTCCTGTGAAATAACAGATATTCAACACAATTTTGAGGATTTTTTTTATAGTACAGTCATTGGAGCTTTTCACCTCCGAATTCTTTGAAACTGAACCGATCGACTTGAAATTTGGCAGATAGTTAGAGAAAAGGTCAATTAAGATTAGTGACATAGCAGCGATCGACGCTTCCACCCCGTTGGGGGTTGACATCCCTTCTTGGGGTTGGAATTTTTTTCAAAAATAACGCTGAAAATGGATAGAGAATCAAATTTTGAAGCAAAAAATATTCGAATAATTTTTTCGAGAAATCAATAGTTTTTTAGTTATTTCACGATTGAAAACTTGGAATTTTGAGTGAAAAAAAAAACAAAGTATTTTTCGCGAATAACTTAAAAACTACGCATTTTATTTAAAAAAGTGTAATAAACAAAAATGTAGCTTATAAATAAACAAAGAAAATCGTTTTTTAAAAAGTGTTGTACCTATACAAAGTGAAATATGGTTAGTGAAAGGGGACTTGTTTTGGGGGGAATACTCGAATCGATGTATTCAACGTCAAATAACGGAAAAAGGATTAATTTTACGTGAATAACGCTCCGGAAGTTTTTTGTAGTACTCAAAAAGACCTCCAAAATGAGCACTTATAAAAGTTAATTAGAGCAAAATTAAAAGAGTTATCGTCAAAAACAGATGGCTTGCTCATACTTTTTAAGGAAAAATGAGCAGTAAACGCTGTACCATTTTCCGTCAGAATTAAAATTAATCGTAGACCCTTTACAATTAGTTTTGTTTTAGTGTTTTCCATACGATCCTGAAGTTATACTGATTTAGAATGCGTATTTTTTGAATAATGTACGGTAAAAGTTGAAAACGTATTTTTCATTATTCAAAAAAAATTGCCCTATTTTTATAATAACTCTGAAACTATGAAAGATACGTAAAAAATGATACACAACAAAAATGTAACTTCTTCTTCATCAAATATTTTGCTTTTTTTTCCTATAGCATAAAAAATAAAGGAGATATCGCCGATTGAAGTATCCATTTCAGTGAAAAAACGACCTGTCTCGATCCCTTCGATCCTTTCCCTTTAAAAAACGAAGGACCTAAAAGGTTTTATATGCAAACGATCTTACAGCTCTTGAAATTATCTTTAAAATGCTTTTTTGTAGGATACTATAGCTTCAAAATTAACCGAGTTATGGTAAAAAAACCAATGACATTTTTTCGGAGCAAAATAGGCTTTCTCATTTTTATATATTATATATTATATTATACAAATAAAATAAGTAAAAAAATTTAGTGTGATTATTTATACGCAGCGTAGCAATTTTTTTATGATTGATTATATTTAAAAATCGATTATAATAAAAATATTTTACATTAATATTGGTAAAAGGGTAGTTTATAAGAGTTGAAAATGGCAAAAGTAAAATATTCTTTCATAAACAATATAAGGGAATTTTTATTTTAAATTATTGCACAATTATAGCATTCCAAGATTTAAAATGTATTTTTTTATCATATTTTTAGCACAGGGGTGATTTATAAGGGTTGAAAAGTGTTATGAGATACAAATTCTTTCATAAGCAATGAGGGAATTTTTATTTTAAATAATTGCACCGTTAAAGCATTCCAAGCTTTTAAAAAGTAATTTTTTATCATTTTTGTCAATACAGGGGTGATTTTTAGGGGTTGAAAGGGAAAAATTCTTTTATTAGCTATTTTGTAACTTTTATTTTAAATGATTGCACAATTTAATCATTCCAAATCTTTAAAAAGTAATTTTTATCATTTTTTGCATAGGGGTAGTTTTTAAGGGTTAAATAAAGGGTCGAAAAAATTAAATATATCATAAAACATGTTCGAGAAGATGGAACATTTTATAATCTTTGTGCTTGAACAAGATTTTTCTCAATAAAATGCTTAAAACTTCATTTTTTCACTTAGAGGTAGTTTTTACCCCTAAAAAACAAAAAGCGCCAATCGGGCTTATGTCACTTTTGAATTTGAGCCTTATTCTAAATTTTCATGCAAATCCATGCAGTTTCAATGAATTCAGAGGTTACAGCTGATTTTCAGCTTCAATGAATGTACTATTATTTTTTCTGGAGTTATCACATTCGGACATACCGAGCATTTGCCATCATCGGTGGGCGTAAGGCCCCGTTAAACTCAGAAAACCACCGACAAATTATAGTTTTCAATAGAGCAGATTCTTTATAATATTTTTCAAGCCATAGCTGAGCTTGAAAGGTATTTTTGCCAATAAAAAAACAGCGTTTAATCAACATATGACATTCGGTTTTGTCCACTGTTTTGTTTTGAAGATGTAAAAAGCAGTGTCACTGAAACATCGATATCTCGATAAGTAATGGTCGAAATGTCACGAAACTTTGAAAAGTTTCTTTTGAAGGTTTTAAAGACGCCATCTGTAGGCTAATCCCGGAACATTTTGACCAATGTGTTATGCATAAGAAAGTGATAAGACAAATTTAATTGACATTTAATTTACTTTACTAGTCCAGGAAAATTTGACGAAAATAGAGCCGAACCACGGAAGGTTCGATTTTGATGGGACAAAGTGCGTTCTCTTCGTAATTGCATGTACATCAAAGTCTACAATGTCTCATGCGGCGCTAATTTGTTTATTTATAAATAATCAATTATTATTAACAAATAATCGTATTTCGGATATTACGTGGGGTGGAAACGGCCAATCTTGATGCGGTAAAGCTCATTCTTCTTCTTATTAGTTGTACTTTAACTGTAAAGGACCCCCACCGATCTTCATTTGTTTATCGGTTTTTATTTGATTGTTATAAACAAATTAGACGTGATATCTGCGGTCGGGAGTAGGACTAGCCGATTTGGACGGGATGAACGTGGTTTTATATAGAAAGTTCAAGACCCTAATGCAGGAAGTGAATTCTCAAAAAGCTGAAGACCATATAGAACATGAATCATTATGAATAAATGTTATCCACTTCTCTTTGATTAAAAATTATCCATTCTAAGTCTTAGTTACAGATTGCACGTGTAATTTTTTTATAATGATTAATTAGTAAAAAGAAACAAATGAAGATCATTCGGACCTTAACGGTTTTGGAATATCCCGGATGATGATCAAAGTGACTTATTCCATAAAAATCAGACTTTTCTCGTCCAGCTCACAGATAACAGCCCGAATTTGTATATACTAATTCATTGAAGATCAATGAACAAATGAAAATCAGTCTGCCCTTAGTGGCCCTTAGTGGTTCTGGATCACCTTGTAATCCAAGTACGAGAAGAGCGTCGATTACCGCGTGAAAATCCCCCTCTCCCAGTCCGATTGCCTAATTTGCTCTTAATGATCGAATAAAAATCAATAAACAAATGAAGATCGGTGGGAGTCTCCCAAAGTTAAGGTACAACTAATCAGAAGAAGAATGGGCTCTACCGCATCAAAATTGGCCTCTTCCAACCCACGTAATATCCGAAATACGCTAATTTGTTAATATTAATTGATTATTAATAAATAAACAAATTAGCGCCGCATGAAACGTTGTAGACTTTGACCTACATGCAATTACGAAGAGAACGCACTTTGTCTCATCAAAATCGAACCTTCTTTATCCAATTCCAAGATGAAATGCTAATTTTCCTGGACTATACTGGGAAAAAGCAGCCCTTATTCTTTTTCCACAAGGAATATGAGAAACCCCTCAAAAATATCAAAATCGAACCACCTTGTACCCTTTAGAATATTCCAACCCTCCCCCCATATGAACTGTTGCAAAAAAAAGCAAAAATGCGGAGAACACCCCCAAAATCCCGATCCCAAAGCCTGCTCACCTGGAGTCATGATGTCCACCACGGACGTGTTGGCACTGTTGCTGACCTTCGCCGTGTTATTCCTCGAGCTCCTCGTCCTCTGCCTGGCCTTCCTGAACAGCTGCTTGTAATTTTCCGTCTTCTTGCTGAGGTAGTAGTACTGCACGCAGTCGGACACCGACTTCCTGTCCAGATAGGAAGCTATCACGCCGAAATTCTTCGGGTGTTGCAGGTACTTCTCCTTGAAGATCTCCTTCTCGCTGGCCGTCCACACGTTGAGGAACTGCCTGCCCTTGTACACGTCCTCCATGTCCTCGATGAAGCCGTTGCTGTTCGCGTACTTGATCTTGCGCTCGCGCTGGTCGAGCAGGATGGGCGGTATCACCGCGTAGCTGCGCATCTTCTTGTCCTCCAGCGCCTGCTCCTGCAGGTTGTCCATTATCTCCTCCATGTCCGCCTCGGACTTCACCCGCGCCCCCACCCTGTTGAATCTGCAGAAAAAAATGATTGGTTACAGCACAAGAAATGAAAACAACTTCATGTTTTTTCTAACTATAATTTTTTTATTATTAGCCTTTGTATTCTTCCCTTAAAGGTAAATGTTTCCCTTTATTTACAAAATAATAAAGTGGCTAATGATTACTTGTCAAATAAAATTAGTAAATTCGTATACAGGGTGATCCATTAACAGTATCGAGTGGCTGTATATAGAAAAGTAGACGTGCTACGATTATGGGGTAAAAAATCTATTAACAAATACGACCTAAAGAAATTGATTTAAAATATTTTCAAGTTTGTAACTTCACCGCTAGGGGGCGCAACTGCTAGTGTTACAGAAAATTGTCGGTTTTTCGAAATTTCGTTTATATAACCTAAGTTGCAAATACATTTTTTAGATACACTGTTAAACCCTTCATAAGTTTTGTTTGAACTTTGTTTTTGTTATTAACAACGTTATTTTATTTTTTATTTTAAATTGTCATAACTTCTAAATGTTTCATTCGATTTCAATAAACGATGGCTCATTTTAAAGAACTATTAATAAAATTTATTTTATGATATAGGAATGAAAATATTATTTTCCTGCACAGCGGTAGACGACGCTAATGAGAAAAGTTTTGTAATTGTCTCCGTTTACTAAAAAAATTAAATGCAACGATATAGGTTTTTTTTCATGGCTTGATAGACCATTCATTATGGAAAACAAATAAATGAAATAAAAATTTCAAGATAGCGTCCTTCATACTGACGTTGCTATGGTAACAAAAAAAAAAGTTCAAACAAAACTTGTGAAGGGTATAACAGTGTATCTAAAAAATGTATTTGCAACTTAGGTTATATGTGAAATTTCGAAAAACCGACAATTTTCTGTAACACTATAGCAGTTGCGCCCCCTAGCAGTGAAGTTACAAACTTGAAAATATTTCAAATCAATTTCTTTTGGTCGTATTTGTTAATAGATTTTTGACCCCATAATCGTAGCACGTCTAGTTTCATATATACAGCCGTCCGACACCGTTAATTGATCACCCTGTATACAGCGCCCGAAGAGAAAATGCATATAAAAGGACATTCCTCATGAAAAAATAAGCTCAAAATTCATATAAATCTGTTAGAAAATTCAACTATTTTAAATTGTTAATGTCTCCCCTTCTAAACAAGATTTATTACTCAAATTCCGTTCGTTTTCCATTATGTATATTCAATGGTACGAATAATAAATACAGAGCATTTATGAATGATTACAAGCCACATGACGAATAATTTTGTTTGGAACAGTAAAGGCTTCCCCAAACAGGCGTGATATCGGACGCCAAACACTGCGATACAGTATCGTCCGATAAAACAATTCCTGCATTTTAAATGCAAACACGTGTCTCCTATCAAACTGAGACGATCATCGCACGATGCGTTATTATTGGGACAAATACATTGCAACGACACTGTGTTCTATACTCCTCAAGACATAGATCGCATAGTTGATCAAGCGTTTTCTTACATTTACTAAACTTGCACATAAACATGGATTTATCTCCAGAGAAGTTCAAGACGTTCTGCTTCTGGTTGCAGTTGATGAGGATGAAGAAGCACATCATCTAAAAGAATCCAGAAGTTTACTATGATAAGACTAAATTTAAAAACAGTGATTATGGCTAAATGTTAGGAATTGTCCAAAGCAATTTTTTTAGTCATAAGTTTAACTTTTTTTTTAAAGATTGTGGATTTATGACATAAAGGCCACGAGAGAAGATAAAGGCGAATTTTATACATTAGTTCCTCAGCTAATTAGAGACGAAAAACGATTCTTGAATAAAATAAGGCAACATAGTATTTTGTTTGTTACCCAACACGCATGCGTAATCGGATGAGGAGTACACAATCGTTAATATCGTAAACGCACATATTTGAAAGCTTCTAGGCGATACTGCGATATCGCTGTAACGCATTGCGATTAGGACGTCTCTGTTGATTGTAAATCAACTGTTAGTATTGTTGACAGTAAAATTTAGGGATTTTTAGTTGGCAGTACCAATTGTGCAATGTTGGTTGCCTAAGCTCGAAAGTCACTTGACTTGTAAATATTTATTAATGCTCTGTATATATATTGTATAGGGAGAAATAAATAAGTTACTCCAATAGACTAGTGTGCATTATTTGTCCAATGTTCTACAAATATCTTGATTCGGAAACATATCGTTTTCGAGTTATGGAATTATTATTATTTTTTTTTTGATATAGGAAGGAAGATCTGATTCTTTTGTACACAGTTTTTAAGCCCTATGAGTTTGTGTGAAACATTTGTGTACACTTGGTTAAAACGAAACATTATATCAAAAATTATATCAAAATTTTGGAATAAATTACATAAATGTCTTGGTTTATCTCAGAAACTAAGATTTTCCAATACAATTTTAAACCTGAGTAAGGTTGCCAACATCGAGCTGACGTAAAGAAGAAATATTTCAAATAATTTTCACAGAGATTTTGTGCCACCCTGTAAAATCTTAATTTGTGTGATTTTAACCAAATTTTTTTAAGATGCAGAGTTTGATGAAGTGTGCTTTGTGAAGGAAAATGAGTGTGATCCCACAAAATCCAAGGCATACTACGTCCAAGTAAAATTCTAATATTTCATATTAGGCATTTTTTGAGAAAAATTATTTACGCCACTGGATTCAAGACCCCCAAAATGGGCCAATACCAAATTTTATCAAAAATTTTTAAATAACAACTTTGTAGCCAAATCAAAAATTCACAAGTCTACTTTTTTCGTTAATTTATTGTTGATATCAAGTTGTCCATGCAGCAAAACAAAAAATGAGGTAGTTAGCTAACTGTCAAAAATGACAAATTAAGAAAGTATCAAAAGGTACCTGGCAAAAAATAAAATAAAAGCTTTTAAATCAAAATTTGTCCATACTTTGGAATAGGGAGATGAAGAAAAACGTTTGGAGTTTTGTTCTTGGGAAAATATTTAAATAATCCTAAATTTTTATGTGAAATTTTGTTTAGTGATAAGGCCACATTTACTACAAATGGGGTAGTTTTATCCTAAAATTGTTGTCATTAGTCAGTTGAGAATCCAAAAGTTATTATAAACACAAAGAGGTAGTATTCGCAAAAAATTAACGTTTGGTGTGGAAAATAATAGAATTAATAGTCACTTTCTTTTTTGACGGCAATTTGAATGCAAATAGATTTTTAAATTTTCTTAATAATGAATTTCGGAAGGCACGAGATGATTTGCTTATAATAAATCTTTTTAATTTGAAGTTTCAATTAGACGGTAGCCCTATTCATAACGCTGCTGCGGTGAGAGAATGGTTAAATTAACATTTTGAGAATTGTTGGATAGGACGAAATAGGCCTTTAATTGAGTGGCCGCCAAGATCCCCAGACTTGATGCCATTAGATTCTTTTCTTTCGGGTTTATTGAAACAAAAAGTTTATAAATCAAGACCACAAACTGTACACAAACTAGGTGCCAGGATAATGCAAGCCTGCACAGAAATTACCCCAAACCAAATACAAAAAGTAATTATGAACGTACTAGAAGTAAATGGTGGATTGATAGAAGTGACAAGAATATAATTATTTAACTTTTGTTGGTTTCATTATTTTATTTTTAAATTTTATTAATACTTATATATAATACCACATTACTAGAGTTTAATTAATTTCATTTTTTTGTTTTTATTTTGCTTCATGGACAACTTGATAGCAACAATAAATTAGTGACAAAAAAGTAAAGACTTGTGAATTTTTGATTTGGCTACAAAAACGTAATTATTTAAAATTTTTTGATAAAATTTGGTATTGGCATGTTTTGGGGGGTTGCGAATCCAGTGGCGTATATATATTTTTCTCAAAACGTCCCTAATATGATGAAATATTAGAATTTTACTCCTAAAAATGGACGTAGGATTTTGTGGGATTACGCTCATTTTTATTGACAAAGCACACTTCCAGCTCTACATCTTAAAAAAATACTGGATAAAATTGCACAATAAATAAAGACTTTACAAGGTGCCTTACAAACAAATGGGTCACATTGTATATTTAAAAATTTTATAACAGTCATGATAAACAAACAAAAATGCTTTTCATAAATAAGAAAAATAAAATTCGTAAATACAAAAAATGTTTTAGGTGAATTTTAAACAAAACAACTGAAAAATGTATTAGTTCCATAATATAACAAACACTCATAAAAAATATCTACCAATAAATTAGTATTACAATGCTTTATATTAATATACAAAATAACTACTCTGCGGACAAAAACCCCGACCAACACTGAAGTGCACTCGCAATATCTACTTAACAGTTAAGATCATTCGTCAGTAGAACCACCAGACATATACCAACTTCGAGAATTAAATTTTAAATATTAAATTCGAGTCATCCCAAAACCCTCCCCACGTACCTCTCTTTGTCTTCCCGCTGCTTCCTCAGCTCGGGAAAGACCTTCTCAAAGAACTCCCTGTTCTTTGCCTCCTTGGCTTTCCTCTTGGTGCTACTCTCGATCTTGTCCACCTTCCTCAGCCACTCCTGCATCATCTTGCTGTAGGTTTCTGTCAAATAGGAATTCCTCGACTCTTTATCCGTGTGCCTCTTCTTGAAGTATTCCAACAGACGCCTCTTGAACGCCACGTTCTTCCTCTTGTTCTCGTGGTAAGCGGGGGCATCGCTGGGCTGGTTGTAAAGCGGCCACTCCACCTTCGGCCCCAATGTGTCGAGCTGGGCGTGCGCGCTCTGCGCCTTCTTTCTGTTCTCCGCATAGATTTTCTACAAAACAAAAAAACAAAATAACCATCTTTACGACAAGAAAAATTGCCTCTGATGATGAGTTTACTAACCTGGGGTAGGCTCTGGTGCTTGGGCACATCCTCCTCGACTACCGGCTTGACGGAGGGCTTGTTGGCGATCTCCTCCAGCTCCGCCTGCTTCTTCTTGAGTATCGCTATCTGCGATTCAGCCTTGGCGATCTCTCTATCAACCTTGCCGATCTGCTGGATGAGCTCGTCCTTCGTGGTGCGGAAGGCCTGATCGTCCTGGGTCAGCTGATCGGGGAAGGTGGGTGAAATGGCTTCCACCTGGGGATTGTACGTACCCGGCTGCTCCTTTTGGGGAGAACAAAACAGAAATTAGAGGACCGGCATAAGTTTAAATCATCATTACTGGAACAAAATGTCATATTTCCATATTTTGGGTTTTTAACTCGGTTCTAAATGATAAAATTTGTTCGATAAGTATGCCTCGAAGAGCTATATTGACAAACATTTGTGAAAATCTAAAATTTATATTATGTTTTAATTAATATACTCACATGAGAGAATTGGAGTCAAACAAAATTGGAAATATTAAATTTTAATTCAGTAGAAGCAATTTTAAGGTTATCTTACGGTTTACCATCTGGTATTTTACAATTTTCAAAATGATTCTAGGTAATTCGTATTCCATTTTCATAAATGTTTTTAAAATTACTAATTTGATAGTCACTAACAATGTCAAAGTCTAGGCAAAATAATTGTTTGCTTTAGACAATTGAACATCTTCCAAGATGTCAGGTTTTGAAATGCCAATCAAGATGCCATATAAAATATTTAGAAATAATGTAATATTATTGACTTTTTGAAAAGTTCTGTTTTAAATATCGTGAAATGCTACTGTAATTATATTAATTTTAAAATGAACACAACATATTTTATATTTAAGCGCTTACCATTTAAGGCTGATATAAAATACAATTATTTCAATAGATAATTAAAATCATTTACACATTAAAATCAGGATTTATTTACAATATTTTTACAAACAACACAACACAACTATAAATTATACACAACACTATGGTATTTGCAGAATGTGTGAATCTGCCATAAAAAGTATATCTTTTTATTAGTTACACAAAAAAATTCAGAAAATAGGATCACTGGGTTCTTAAGATTTACATAGAATGTAACCCAATTAAAACAAATTTGTTTGACACTGAACTGTATTTTGAGTTCTTTAGATCAAATTAGATATAGATGGATGTAATATATAGGATGTTGAAGTATACAAAAAATTCAGGACTGCATTCCCTGGAAAATTTTAAAGGGGGTCTTGCGAATATTTTTTTTAATTGGAGCCTCTCTTAAAAAGTTACAGTCCATTAAAGGGGAAATTTTTTTCAATTTTTCTCAAAAACTGTTGAATATAGCAAACGAAATTTGGAATAATTACAGTACTTATAAAATCATATTTTACTGAAATGTTTTCCATTTTCCTGGTTTGCTATAAGGGGGTGAAGATTAGACCACTTCTTCCATGTTTTATTTACAAACTTTTTTATTCTTTCAGATTATTTAAGCAAAATAACATTTTAAGATGCTTTCGTTTAATTAGAAACTTTTTTGTGATTTAGAAAAATTTTTTGTTGCTCTTTTTGGGAAAAAGATATTTTTTCAAAAGGAGGCTATTTCGAAAACTTTTGTAAAGATAATATATAATTTCAACTACAATTAGTTTGAATTACACATTTTTATTTATTTCTTTGTTAGGTTTAATAAATCAATTTACACCATCCCCAATTAATGGCCTGTTACTTTTTAGAGGGGCTCCAAATAAAAAGAATTGTAAGAAACCCCTTAAAATTTTCCAAGTATCCAAGGAATACAGTCCTGAAATTTTTGTACACACTTATGCAACACCCTGTATTTCAAAGGTAAAAAAAAAATATGACTAAAGCTTTAGGAATTTTTACAAAAAAAATTGCTACAGTAAATCTCTCCGACGTAATTTAAAAGGTGTGCACTTTAAATTTTATTGAAAAATTGAAAAACTCAGACATGGTTTAGTAAGCAATTTTTTTTATTAATATTTCGATTTGAATTGAAATGTGTTGAAACATAGTTTCTTGGGTAAAAATAGTGTAACTTGCAACAAGAGACATAAATGCAGATATTTTTTTGTAAGTGACCAAGTATTTTATGTTGAGTAGCAAATATTATTTTTTGTTTTTCTTATGTAACCTCAAGTTCGATTAAATAGAAAACGAAGTGATACATTGTAAATTATTGTTTTTTAGTAGTTTCCGTAGCAACACGGATTTTTTTTTTCAAAGGGCATTTTATTACTGCATTTATCAAGCATCTTTGACTATTTATCATATTTGACTTATTTATACAAATATGTTCAATTGGAACAGATAAGAATACGTTCATTCAAATTTAATTAGTATATTATTTTAATTAAGAAAATCATATTTTTTTTCACATTGTCACCTCTAGAGGTGAAAACTTAATATGTACCCTTTTTAATGATGCTGAAGAAAGTAATACAGAAAGAAGTTTTTTTGTCAAAAAACACATTTTCCGACTTTTTTTAACCATACAAAGCTACAAGGAAGCTCAGTTTCTTAGCGTAGTAGCGAGAATGTTTAGAAAATTTTGTTTTTTTTTTCAAAAAGGAAAAAAGCACAAAGTTTCACGTGGGTTAACTTGTTTATTTTAGGAAACTTCCTAAAAAAGTTGTACAGATCTTGGAGCAATTCAAAAATTAATTTTTAGAGAAAACTATTTAACACCGTTAGATGAAAGTTATGTTGCTATAAACATAACAGTCTGTAAAAAAACAAAGTATGCCATATCTTTATTTTCTTAGCTTTTTCTAGATAAAACTTTTTAATTGATTACCCGTTTGCAAATGTTAAATTAATTTGTAATAAAGAGAAACTGAGAACATAAATTAGAATATATTAAAATAAATTATACCACATACAAGGTGTTCCACTTAATACTGTAATACGTTCATAGTTAGATTATACGTATTTTAGATTTTATTTGATGTATTTTTTTATTATTTTTTGTAAGATAGAGTTAGGTTAGGTTAGGTTAAATTCAAATAATATTTTAAATATAGGGCAGCCTGAGAAACATTGTGCAAATAAGATGTAGATTTAAATGGAACGCTATTTATATGCACACAGCAATTTTTTTAAATACCTATGTATATTTGAATTTAACTGTTCGTTTTATTACAATGTCTTTTCAACTAAATGCAGTTGCAGTGCAGTTGTAGACGGAATATTCATCGTGTCGATGAATTAAAGTCTCACCTACGAAAAACTAAGGAAACAAATATATGACCTAATAAGCTGTCCAAACCAAAAAAAAATCTGACAACACTGCACTCTATAGAAACGACCTATAAGAACGGCTTAAAATATTGTTGCTCGTGATTCGACAACGCTGTTGCGTATACGTACCCTAGTGTCGATCCTGAGGGGCTGAATGCCCTCCTTGTCCTGCAGCCGGATCTTCTTCAGCGGTTGCTGCCCGCCCCCCTGGAGTCCGTCGACGCAGACGACGCTCGCCTGGATAGCGGACTCCCTGGGCCGGCCTGGCCCGTACTCCGGGTGCAGCAACGAGATCCGATTGGGCCGGAAGTCGCGGTACACGCCGGCGGAGAGGAGGGGCGGCGCGGCGGCGGCCGAGACCGCCGTCGGCGCCGGCGGGGGCGCCTGGTACCGCTGGGACACCTGCACCTGGTTGAGGGTGGCCGCGGGGGGCGGTTGCGGCTGCAGCTGCGGCGAAGCGGGGTAGGGGTAGCGTCCCGTCGCCGGCAGAGGAGACCTGGAGCGTTTGTAGATGTCGGCCGCCGAAGCCGCGTGCGACGCCTGGCTGTGGTTGGGTCTGCAACAAATTCACGGAGGTCAGCGGGGCAGTCGAAACGTGATGTCGTTTGCCCCCGGTTAGTGAGGGGGCTTACGAATAACTATGAAACCGTTCGAGGACTGCTGGCTTGTGAAATGCTTAAAAAGTCAGCGGTTCCAAAACTTGTCTAAATCTATACGTACACGGAGAAAAGTGACTTAGATGTGACGAGATAAATTAGAATCATTTTTAATTCTATATAAATGTTTATTTTTAATTTCCTACTAGTTTTGGCTATTATGCCATCATCAGGAAAAAAGATAAATAACAAATCATTGGAAAACAATTGACAACTTTACAAAAAAAAAAACTATTAATTTTTGTATTATTTTAAATATATGTATTAAGTATCGCAAAAGATCAGTTTTTTCATGTTTGAACGAATGATGAAAACCTCACCTTGTTACCATGTTTAATTTCGGAGAGGTTTTTGATATTTTCGAAGATGCTACAAGTATATTTTTTTAATCAAATAATACTGAAATGGTACATTTTCGACATAATATGTTCATCAAAGTAAACCTTCAATTGAAAAATTAAAAAAAAGGTACTTCACGTTTATAAGAAATTGGATATCCCAGATAATTTTAAATTGTGGAGAGATTGATCTGGTGGATTGTTTTTAAGCTCTTCTATTACTGATATTATACCTTTCATAAAGAAGTTCAAGTACCTACCCATAAACAGGATAGGAAACCTTTTCTATACCCCTCAAAAGTATATCTTCTATATCATAATGTAAATTAGGGAAATTTAATTAAAAAAAATGACAATCGGTTAATAATAATGTCAAACATACCTACAATTCACACAAAGTACAATACTACACTATTGGAAAAAAATAAAGGAACAAAAAATGTTGAAATTAATTTTTTAGTGATTTTCGAAAGGTAGTATCTCGATGAAAAATGGTCGTTTGAGATAAACAAAAAAGCATTTTGAAGCTTTAAGTCTCTAGTTTCACGATGTTTGGACAGAATTTTATTTAGAGCTATGATTATCGAATAATCAAATTCCATTTTTTTTATGACTGTCCATGGGCTCAGGATTTTTTTTTTCAAACTCAATCAATGTAGAGGTCAATTAGCTTATTTATTAAGCTTCAATTTGATTTTTGAAAGGTCTCTGGGTGTTGAGATATCAATAGTTGAATGAAAAATAACAGTTTTGTTTTAATCATCTACACTATGTTCGCGATTAGGGTGAATAAAAGGAAAAACTTTTTTATTTTACAATTTTACGGAAAAAAAAAACACTTGATAAAAAGTTTTGCAGAAATAAAAAATCTGAAAATGTCACGAGAATAAACTACCTTTATTTTTAATATTTCTGAAAAGCGATATTTTGCAAAAGTCGTGCAAAAAAATACTAGTTTTTAAATAAATAAATTCGCACAAAATTTCGTATTCTTAAATCTTTTGGGCACCCCGTACATGAAATGTTAAGTTTCACCATGGTCACTTCATTTTAAATTCAAGCGAAACTTTTTATCAAGTGTACCATTATTCCGTAAAACGTAAAATAAAAAAGTTTTTCCTCTTATTCACCCTAACCGCGGACATACTGTATATCTCTGCAATAAATTATTACACAGTAAATCCAAGGGCGGTTTTGAAAACTTGAATAAATTCTCTGCAAGGACCTGTCATGGTAATTTTTTTCTCTTTTTTCTTTTGATTACTCGATAGCCATAGCACAGCTCATAGCTCAAAAAAAAATTGTATAAAGATCTTGAAACTAGACTTAAAGCTTCAAAATGCTTTTTTGTTTATTTCGATACGATAAAATTACAAAAATATTCATGAAAACTTGTTCCTTTATTTTTTTCCAGTAGTGTATGATATTAAACCGTGATATCGCTTATTTTAATTCCTTGTGATTGCCATAATTTCCATGAACATTCAAAAAAAACTAACGGTGCACTTATGGCTGCTTTAATATGATTGATTTAATATTCCATACATAACATTTCAAACTCATAGTTCCAAAACCTTTTTAACGTTGAGTGCTATCAAATCCATTTTACTGCAAATGACGGTGTCTGGCAAAAATAACCAGAACACAAATATAAAATATTAATTTCATTTCAATTCCTCTGCGAATTGTGTACGTATGTTATTAATGAAGTAACGTTAATTATTAATATGTACAGTTTTAATTATCATTCTAATTATCTACATAGATAACGATAGAGATCTCTGGCCTATTCATAACAACACAATCTAACCACATTCAATGTTAATTCCAATCATAACGATTCCCACAGCTGGATAGTTCTCGATATTAATAATAGCTCGCTGCATTCCTATTTACAATTTACTACTAATTAAAGGAAAAAATACATCGGAAAAAAAGTTGTTTGTTATTAAGGCATACCTCGAATTCGCCGCGATAGTTTTCTGGTATTAGATACGGGACGTGATTTTAATTCCAATTTTTTATGCGCTTTTTATACAATTCCGTCCGAACACAATTAAAGTCCAAGGCCTGGAGCACAGGGGACAGCAAAGTTCACTTCTTCTACATGGAATTCTTAACAGTAAGGCAACGGTAAGACGCGCATCTAGTAGGCCGTTTAAAAAGGCAAAGATCAGTTCCATGTCACGTAAAAAGCCAAAGTAGGCCATCAATGCAACTCGTTTGTTTTCGGACGAGACTATACATATTTATAAACAGATCTTTGTGACGCTTTTTGTAAAAATTATAAGGCAATTTAGGAATGTTGTACAAAACGTCTTATTTTCTAGTGGAACATAATCCTGATGACCTTCTAGATCTTTTTTTTGTGACGATCGCCCTACCGAGGTTTATAATGTAACAAATAATCCTCCTAGCATATACATTAGTTTCTTTTGTTTTAACAACAATTGCTACAATGAATTACACCTAAATAGCAGCGAGATAAACAACTGCGCGTCGTGTGGAAGTAATTTCAGTAATTTCAGGGATTATTAAATTGGGGAGACAGCGAGGAAGTTAAAAGCAAGACATGGTAGAATAACTTTAAGGTATATTGTCAATTTTTTTACATGCTCACGAAGCCTCCTTGAAGGTCATAATTTTAGAGACAACGCTTATTCGAGAAAGACAAAAATTCTGGGTTCAAAAGCGCGATAAATATTGATGGAGTTATTTAGCTAACTTTGGGAGATAAATCAAACTATTCTTTTAGATAGTAGCAATAGAATGATATTTCTTTCTAGAAGGGATTATACATCACAAATACACCAGTCTCTAATTTGAATATTACAAAATGCAAAACTGATTATATTAATAGTTCGGCTATAAAGTGGGACGTTGTTAAAAGTTTAAGTCGCCCATAAATAATAGTGGCGACAATCCAAAGATTACAGATAAGTTATGAATTCTGAATTATTAATACGACGAATTGTTGGGTGGTGTCTCGGTTGCCTATACTCCAAGATCAAAATGGAAGGCAGTTGTCATAAATAACTTCTTTCTTCTTAGTCTGATAAATAGTACATTGTGTACATAGTAGTAAAAGCAATAGGTGCATTCCCAGGAATGTGCCTTTACTACGAGGTACACATGCTATTTTTTCTGAAATTATCAATTTAATATTAATTAATTAATATGAACTAGGAAATTTTTAGATTAATGCATACCTAACATTTGTAATAAAATCGTTTCCTTGACAATCATCGTTTATTTATTGATGTGATAAAAGTCAAATTCGTTTTAAAACCAATAAGTGCTAAAATATACTATTAAAAAATAGTTAAAATGGACAGTGGTGATGATGTTCAGGTGTCCATGACACCACTAGAGTTAGTAGCAGCTGCAAAAAATGTGACTAAATTTATTATCAAACAAATATAGGAACAAAATACGAATTTCAACGTTTCAAGGCTTATTTCTTGAAAAAAATACAATCTCCCGATACGAAAATATTATGATTGCATACTTTCCGATTTATCGACAACGTTGAAGGCATCTCCGTTATGGTTAAATTACTCCATATTGAAAATAACACTTACTACAGAGGAAAACATTGATATAATAAAATATTTGAAAGTACGTGTTTTCCTGAAACGTCATGGTGACAACTATATCTAAAAACCTTAAATATGTATAGTTATCGAAATAGCACGATATAATAATTTTATTATAAAAACGACATCTATTCTGTTCTACATCTAATAATTTTTAGAACCCTCTAAAATGATACGCCCATGGAAGCACATTCCCCGCATGCCTTGCACGAGTCTATGTTGAAAATTAGTCACTGCCTATTACTTTTTCACCGGAGAATCAAATTGTATCCAGTTTTATCTAGCTAGCGCCGAAATTTGTCTTTTTCATTCAGGCGTGAACGTCCGGTAGGCGATTCACGATCGAAACCGGCAAAAACAAAAAAACTCCACTAGGTCCCGACCCGATGCATCCTTCGCTTTATTTATGCACCAGGTGTCGCCACGAACCACCGTTTAAAGGACTAGATGACCTACATTTCTATCGGTTCGAGTCTAGCGACCTTGACTTGGCCTGCTGCGAGATACGGACTGTGTACCGTTTGCTGCTTGTGCCGTTTCGACAAAGGAGTCCGGTGAATATCGGGGATAAGTCCGTAAAAAAAAACAAACCGGAATGGGAGTTACGTAGAAATGCCGGAACATTGACGTGCAAGGGGTTCCTGTTCTTAGTATTAGTAGTTTTTGTGCAATATTAGTGCCAAATTGATGTTATAGTCTTTCCGAAGTCAGTTGAACATGTATAAAATAGCCGAGCAATAAAATTTTATGCGTTTCATAGGCGTCCCTAAAAAAGTTTTCTGCTAAAGGTAAAAAATTATAATAATTTGTATATAATGTGCAGAAAATTTCTATTATGAGTTCATTTGGCAAACAACATATTTTAATTAGTTATGTCCTCAAACAATTTTATTATATTGGTGGTAAATTTGGTTTTGTTCCGTTTCAAAAGGTCTCGAAAATGCCATGTAATAATATTATTTCTTC